TGAGGTTCAATAATTGGATCTTTGTTTTTTTTTTTTTTTAAGTTTGACTTTTAAATAAGTGCATTAACTTTACTTTGTGCTTAATTAGTAGCTTAACGTAATTAGCCATTCGCGGCGCAATTTATTTTCTTTGTTGTTGACTTTTGGCTGGGCCAAAAATAAATATCATTTTCACAAATTTCCCAATGGCCGACGGCAACAAATGTGGCCAAAAGTGAAAATGTGAAATGCCAAAAGGCTTTTTTAATTAACACCATTAACAAATTGCCACGCCCATACACACACACACACACATTCACATACCTCAACTTTGCTCGTAAATAAAAGTTTTTTTTGTGTTGTTTGGCGAAAATTTCCTCTCCACTGTCACTTTATTACAATTTTCAGCGCTGGCACTTAAAATTATGCCACGCCCATAAACGCACTGTCTACGTCTCTAACTATCTCTCTCTCTCTTTCTCTGCAGGTTAGCGATAAGTTCCTGGATGCCTACAAGGTCGGCATTGTTTATTGGCCCTGCGTGCAAACAGTTAACTTTGCCTTTGTTCCGGCCAGAAATCAGGTAGTTTTCACCTCATTTTTCAGCATGTGCTGGACCACGTTCCTGGCCTACGTGAAATTCCTGCAGCTGCATCCACCCGTCGATGTTGACCATCATGCCGTGGACATACACTTTCTGGAGATGTGAAGAGATTGAAGCCCATTTAAAATAAACCTAAATAAATATTAACTTTAATTCCAATTATGTTTACAGCTGTATTTTATTTTCGGAAATTCAGCTCTTGGCCAGACCTCACTTAAATAGCCTCTCCTTTCGTTTGTTTGCCATTGCGAGCACGTATGTACACACCCCATATATACCCTATAATATACCCTGCACTCAAGGCGGCCATTAATTGTCGCTGATAAATGAGTTGTGATAAGTTCTGTTGCTTTAGTTGGCGTCGCGCTGTATTATACTACATGCGGCTCACACTCTCTCGCACAACCTCCGACAACCCCATTGACTTGGGTCACATTTATTGCCGTTGTTTTTTATCATTCCATATTAAAGTAACTAATTAACGATCTGTTCTTCTCTGTTCTGTTCCACACATCATATTAGAGAAGCAACGGCGTCTGTGTCTGTGTCTGCGGCGTGTTTTATGGCGCTCGTGGGAGAGCAAATGGTCTTGGCGGCTGCCACTGGGCATTGCATGGGGCTTAGTTTTAACGATGGTGTCGAGCATTTTACTAGCTAATATGCCAGGGGATATTAAAGAGCTGCACACGACAGAGCAAAGCCAAAGAACGAATACTCTATTAGACAGAGGGATTAATTTTGAATTTTTATTGCGCCACAGTTATGACATAATATGGAGGGACTCGGCCAAGATTACTCAGCAGCTGGCTGTAACTGAGCTGGATCAAGATAACTTGAAATACATAAAAGAGCTTGCTTAGCATAATTTGAAAAACAAAACATGCAGAAACTTATATGGCATATGTGGTAATCTGATACAGTTAATATATTATTTATATGATCCAAGGGTTCATAAAAACGTAAATGCCAAGCCTAATCTTGATAATTAAGACAAGATATGAGTTGTTTTTACAAAAAGTACCTTGATGAAAGACGTAGGATAACAAATCAAAATTAATGTAGGAAATTTTAAAGCGAACTTAAGCTCTTAATACTTAGCACCCATGGAATACGCTTGGCTTAAGTAAAGTTATACATGCATATATAAAGTAAACGGGGAGACGACCTAACTAAATCAATTGCTTAAAGCAGAGACTAGTTCGTATATTTGATATATACTTTCACATATTAAGAACATTAATTCATTCAATAGAAATATTATCAGAGAAATAGAAAAGAAAACTTTTCTTTTTGTTCAGCAAAACTTTTAGACCTAAAATCGATCTAGTATGTAAAAGGCGTTGCATTTGAGTTAGTTTAATTAAGGCAGATTTAAGGGTAACGTCTGACAACTCTGACATGTGCATATTTTTGCAGTCTGCAATCAAGTGGAGAGCTCGAAACGAGAGATCCAAATGAAAGTTTGGGCATCAAATTGACCCGTTTTATTTTACATATGCGCTTCAACGAGCCATATATCAAAATTAATATGGATTTGTGTTTGGTTTGTTTGTATATTTCTCTTTCTCTATCGCTCTTCGTGTTTTTTGTTCGCTTGCTTTTTGGGCTGCATTTAAATGCGAAACCATATTGGGAGAGTATCTGGAGGGGGCTTACAGGGATTCAGAGTGCTCGACATGCGGCGTCTGCGTGCCGAATGCGAGCTGAATGCATAAATAATGCCGATTTAGATTATTCTGAAACAGTCAGGCGAAAATAAAATAAAAAACAATATAAACTACAGTCAAACGATGAGAATGACGAGGATGACAACGCAAATGACGATGACGACGACGACGAGGCTGATAATCAGCCATGGGCTGTGCGAATTAGTATGGAAATTTATGCAAGGCAAGAGAGGCTGAGGAAAAGCGAAACCGCAAACAGACACACGCACAACCACACAACCACACACACACGCACGCACGCAGGCACATGTGAGGTAAAAACTCTCTTATCAGTGGCCATGGAGAACGTGGCGTACTTCCTGATCTCTGCTGTCCCCCTCCCTCTCAGTCTCTCTCTCTT